TTATGTAGATTAAGACAAGAGATTTTGTCGTTTGTGGAGGAAATTATACTTTTTCAGTGCGTGCGATTTGCCAATTGTGTCCATTCACATTTCAATTTCGATTAATTTGTGATTAGTCTTGCAGCTCTGTTCAATACCAGTTAATCAAGCTGCAAGAATAATTACAATTGAATTGAAAGTGCAATATGAATGTTGTTTCCTTTGCAAAAATATTTGGGACTCATTCTGAGCAAACCCTGTAGTTTTGACATCTACAAACGTGTTCTGAAACGTATTCTTGTTTTAGTTTAGCAGTGGCATGGCTGCCCATTCTTAATTCAATACCAGTTACCAGGGCGAAGAGATTCATCGCAATCAAATCAGAACTGCCATTTGAATGTCGCTCTAGGCCAACCTCAAATGCTGCCTCTATTTACATGACACAATGTCCTATGCAAACAAATAAAAATAACATGTCTCATTAAGTGTAAAAGCTGCTGACTCCATGTTCTGAAATACATGAGATTCTTGTATCAGTTCAGACATCATTTTTAGTGCTCCTTAGACATGTTTAGAAGAAACTGGAGACCGATATTTTCACAAATCAACTATCTGGCCTTAAATCTCCTGCACAGGCCCATATTTTGTTTTGGCTGCCTCAAGAGTACACACGAAGCTTTATTTGAACGCTTTCATGCAAACAGATCACTGCTCATGTGTCTGAGGCTCTCTTGAAGTTTGTGGTAAAAAAAGACTGTAGGTGAGTTTTGGCGTTAATTTAAATGACATCATTTGGCAAAAATAATCTAAATTTGCCGTACATTTCAGATGTGGAATTACTAAATCACAGAATTATTTCTCATGTTCATCAATAACACACTTTACTCCTAAAAAATTTTCCTTTTAGCAGTATTTAGGAGTATCCTTCATTTTTCATAATTCAAACTTTATTTGACTGATAATGCATTTAAAAAGTGTCATTACAATAGAAGTAATTACTGACCAATTGACTTAAAAAATAATGGTTAGCTGCAGCCCTGTGCAATATCTGACATTTATGGAAATTCTTCAGCCCTACCAGTTACTCCAATTACACTTTTTGATACCTGTTTTTATCATTACCATCAATGTTTATTATTATTTTTGGAATAATTTTATCTCATTCAGTTTGTGGAATATAAATGTCTCTGTCTATATTTAATCTTTAAGCATTTTGATCAATGTAGTCTCTTTTATAAGTTTATGACTACAACGAATAACAAAGTCTCATTTTGTTTTGCCAATACAGACCAGGTTGTTTTGGGAAAGATTTTTAGACTACGGGAAGCTGCCATAGTCTCCTGTATTAATGAGGGATGTAATAATAACCAAAATATCGTGATATCCTATCATCAAAAGTCTCTCAATAATATCGTGGACCATCATAATATATCAAATGACAAGTTTTTCTGCTTAAATACATTGTTAAAAAGAAGAAGGAACTACATTGACCATGATCCTTTGCTCCATTTCAGCGCAGACTCCATGAAGAAATACACTTTTAGCACTTTTGAATGTTTGGGTTAAGGAAAAAGTTGCATATTCACAGTTTTGTTCGTCTCCACAAAATATCGCAATAAATATCGTACCGTGAGATTTATATCATGAAAATATAGTACCAAGAGATTTGAATATGGTTACATCCCTAATGTTAATGGGAAACACTAAAACAGAAGACTATATTAACTAAAAAAAAATCTATCAATTCAATCAATAACAGATTATTTCTTATAGCAAAATTACAAAGTGCTAGTAAAGGCATAGTTTGCATTAGAAAAATATTAGGCCTACACAGGTTAACATTTAACTTCCATAAGTCTATACATGTATAGTAACCGTACAGTGACCGCAATCTATAGAACAATCTTAGATTTACTGAAATAGGACATTAGATTAAAGGCCTGTCATGATAAATACTATACTGACTTATTGCTCAATATATGAAAGATGGAACAATATACTTTTGGGGTTCAACATTTAACGTTTGCACTTTTTGTTTGCAATAATGTGGAGATTTAAGTTATTTTTGTTGTAATACCATAAGATTTGAGCGTTAGATGGTAGAATAAATAAGTTCTATGGCTAATTACTGCAGCATTCTGCCATTGATTTGTTGAAGCTCAGGTCTTTTAATGATTAAAAAATGTGAAAGTGGTTAACTGGGATAATCTTGCTTCATTGTTATGGTGTCAGTGGCCTTAAGTAGTTTCATTAATACCGTTTATCATTGTATCTCTGTAGAAATATATCGTGCTTCAAAATGTGTAAGCGTGACAGGCATATTAGATTACCCAAATAAGCACTGCGGTTTCCATTCAAATTGCAACTTGGATAACCATTCAGTCCTTGTCATTCTGGTTGTAAATGTCTCGAAGGACAGTTGCATCATAAAAAAAGAAAGTGAAACCACTTCTCTATTGAAAACTATCACAACTCTTGACTTAGACATTTTATTTACCTGAAAAGTCTCTCTTAATTAGTTGAACAGTCTATCGTTCAAAACTATTAAGAATCTATAGAGATGGTCTCATAAGATTAACTATAAAGAAGATTTGTTTAAAGAAACTGGTTCCATACACTTACATTTTTAGCCTAAATGTATTCCAAAATTAAAGCAAACTAGAAAATGTGAAAAATAAAAATAATACTGCAATAATATGAGACTTTAACGTATGTGGCATATACACTAAAGCACATTATAAGTGAAATTATAGTAAAAATATTATGACATTCGTTTGGAACGGGCTGAATTCTCTTGAACTTGTAATAAAATGAGGATTAAAAAAGGAAGGAAAGAAGAAAGAAAAGAAAATTCTATTCTAAAAATCTCTGATCTCTTTGACATTAGCAGCCTGGTCCAAAACAGAGCGTATCTCTTTAACTCCCTCTAGCACGCTTTTGGAGGCGTCGCACTCGCAAACACTTGACATGTGCTCCTTCATTGGCGACTGCTACCACTCCCACCAACAATCCCAAAGCAACGAGCACCTCTGCTGCACTTTTAAAGCGATCTGCGTGGATTTTAAGCGCACAAATTCACTAAAAGTTACACAAATGCTGCAAGGATTAGCCCGGGCTGCTACTTTTGCGATGACAAGACGCTAATTTTGCTAAAATAACAAAGTAGCAACATCAATAGCGCGCACGAACAAGCCAGAAAGATGCTGTTAAGTTATAATGGGAAATGCAAAGCTAAATGTGCACTTTAACACGTTTAATAAGGTAAAAAGAAGGTTTAATTGTTATATCAGCAGTTGTTAGCCTGCAAAAGTTACAACACTTTTAACTGACAGCTTTGCTAATCCTTGAAAAGTCCTCAACCATGCAGCCATGAGCCAGTTGAAGAAAACCTTCTGATTGTGCAGGTTTTCTAAAAGCAGCATGCTGTGGTAAGTTAATGAACACGTGAAATGCGTCTTATTATGAACAGGAAATTGGCCGAGCAATAATAACAGTGATGACAGCATGGCACGGTGCACTGTACAGTCCTGTACCTACCTAAAGTCCACGGCTCTGACAGAAAAGAGCGAATCCCGCGGGGAAAGTCCACGCACCGTGACCAGGTAAAGAGGAAAGAGTTGACCAGACTAAATGATTCCTGTTTTTGCAGCGTTGGTTGTGTCTGAGTCCAGCTCCACTCTGATGATGTCTGCAGACTGTGGATTCCCAAACTGCTCTTACGGTCGGAATTTGTCCCTGCGATACATTTTCCGAATCAAAGTAGGTGTAATTTTAGTGTTTAAATGTGTTTTTTGAGCGGGTGGTGCGGAGGCTGCGTTGCGCTCTCTCCTCTGAAGCACTCGCTCTGAGCCGGTTGAAACCGGTTCAGACTGGGAGAGTCCATCTCGGTTTAGTTTTCCGCCGATGGCGCCGCGGAAAGTTTGGACCGAGGCCCCGCCCCCACACCATCTTAATTGGCCGAGCCGAGAGCGGGGACTCATCATCTCTGCCGTGATTGGTCCAAACACCCGCCAGTCATTTTCAATTCGCTCAAGCGCCCACGCGACTCCTCCGCCCGTAGAGAAAAAGAGGGCAGACTCCGCTCTCGCAGAATGGACTCGGCTTATCAGAGCAGAATAGTCCTGCACGCTTTTATAATGTCTGTGCGGGTTAAACTGCGCCTTATCTTTGTTCTATACAGCGCATTTAAAGCACTGCGCGTGTCGGCACAAAACAAACGCGGACACAGCGGTTTGGAGCACTTTAGTTTAGCGGCTCTCTGACTTTATAAATAGCACTTCTCCGTAAAAGACATGGTCTGATATGCGCAGGTATCCAGCCCGTTTGCGCGCCGTGTCGCTACGAGCGTGGACCATTCATTTGCCTGTTGCTTGTAAGCTGGTAATTTTCCACCAGCCACGAGTGGGAGTGGTTACTCGGTCATGTACGCACGAGGTTAGGGAAAGCGACCCGCACTGCAAGATTTGGTTTCAGCGGTATCAAAGTGGACCATGGACTTTATAAATATGAAGTGACACCATCAGCAACACGGGGACGTTTGTGCGCATTTATCTGAATTAGGAAAGCGGTGCGCGCGTAGAGAGGACTGGAGCGGTGAAGTGAGGATGCGAGCATGACAGCGTTTTTTCTGCTCCCTCTGCGTCACGTGGGCCAGAGCGCAGGACTTGATGGAAAAATACTGGATTTGGTGTGTAGTATAGAGAGTGGAGACAGTACACAAGCCACTAAAGTCATGCACAATGATTTGGAGAAGGGCGTTTGAGACCTACCCAGCAACAGCACGCCCGTTTTAACAGAAACCCGATATTTCTTTACATTTTTTGTGATTTAAGATTTCAAATTGCACCTACAACTAGGCTAGATCGTGCAGTAATTACAATTTCACTACATGCATTCATGGACCTGACCTTTTCTCGCCCTCACATCATTTAGTACACATTTGAAGTCTCAAATTAAGAATAAATTCACAAATAGTCTTTATGAAATCCATGTTTTTAAATGTAGGGCATTGGAGATTTAGAAGGTTGTGACATGCCAAGTTCAATGTCAAGTTGTTATGGATACCTGACTGTTTTAATGTGCAAAACCTCCCCGTAAGGAGACTACAAATGTGACAAAAAATAAAATATAATGATAATAATAATTACCTTGTAATTAAATAAAAGCTTTATCAAGTGTCAGTCAGTTATTCTGTTAATTTTGATCTTTTAGAATTTATAAAGCAAGTGTCACTGTTTCATTTTGCTTTAATACAAATTACTGTCTTACTATTCAAATAGAACATGGAAGAACATATATTTCAATGTATTTTGGAGGTCGCCTATTAGAGGTTACAGAAATGTCAAGTTCAATGTCACTTTGACCACAGGGACATAAAGGTACACTGTGTAACATTTTCTAGTGGAGAATTTGCCACCTGCTTATCTCCATGGAAGTGTTCTTGCTTTGTCTATAGTGTTCCACAGTATAGATTAAACTTATCTAGGGAGAAAAGCAGGTGACAGCACTGCACTACATTACAGTTCAGATCTGTGGAGAGTCGCCCCTGTTCACAGAAGGAATTTGTTGTATTTTTAAATAAATTAAAAATTAAATAAATAAATTGTATTTTGTAGCAGTTTAAACACCCCTAATGAATAAATGCTATAGACAAGCAGGTAGCAGACCCTCCACCAGAAAAGTTGCACAATGCACCTTTAACTGCTCATACAATGTATGGGCCTATTGGTTATAGTAACCACATTAAAGGTTCTATCTAATTCTTCAAATTCTTCTTTGTGCAGTATGTCAGTATCATTTAGCAGAAATTCATTTCTGGACATTAGATTAATAATATAAAATCCAGGTATAAAAAGTACAGTAGGGGTCAAGTTAATGACACTTCACCCACCTGGTCATGGGTGTTGGTATTGAATTCTGTTGTTGTGTCCTTAGGCAAGACATGGGCATGAATGGGTGAGTGGTTCCTTGCTTTGAACCTCGAAGATGCTTTGAACCTTGAAGGTGGAAAAGTACTGAATAAAATGTGACCATTTACCATTGACCAAATTAAAAGAGAATCTCTCTGTTTGTGTTACAGCTGATGGTGAGTGTCCTTGCTCTGTCCAGACAGCGGCTTACACATCCACTACTGTGTCATTAACCAACACAATCCTATTATCACCATGACTCACCTGTAACACAGGACCCATACTCAGGTATGTACTCAAGTAAAAGTATTTCACAAAAGTAACATCTCACACAGTACACGTACTGTTACCACTATGAGTACAGTTACGTGAAATTCACCATTTCACCATTTAATTCACCATTCAAATGGTCACATTCTGACTACTCAATCATTCACCCACACACCAGTGTACACACACATTGGCAGCAAGGTGGGTTATGTGTCTTGCACAAGGACACAATGACAGCATTCATGTGTGTGAGCTGGAATTGCACCGCCAACCTGTGGATCAGCTCTGACCGTTCTACCAATGTTTATGTCGAGAGTGGGATTTGAACCGCCAACCTTCAGATCAGTGGACAAACACTGTACCACCTGAAGTTTTGTCACCTCTCTAATACTGCTACTACTTATACTGCCACTACTACAAAATGAAAATAAAATATAATGCTTTTTCCTGATGCAAATCTGTTTCTACAGACACTGCAGAACACTGAAACATTGTTAGAATTTGCTGTTGAACTGTCATAAACTGTGGTTTATAGTTAATATCTCTGTAATTACTGGGCTTATCCACATGAAACAAAAACTGGCACAAAGTTCAATGTCTTCTTTGTCAGTATAAATAAACAAAAGTGAAATTACTATTTTGGTGGTTGGACTGCTGTCAGCTGAAGTGAATTCAGGCAGTAACATTAATCTGATAATTTTGTAGAGCTAACCCCAAACAAATAATGTTAAGGTTCAACATTTGTGGATTGTGTTTGGATATTTCTTTAAAAGTGAACAATAACACAGTGAATCTCCCATAGAGTTATATCCATGGATTTCAGAATGATGAGAACTCTGAACGTCGCCATAGCGATAAACAATAGATAGAATCATCACGTCCATTTGATCGACGTATATGGTCAGAGCCATATGTCCCGAAGCACGTTACTGTTTCTGTGAAATTTTGTTTTAAGCATTATAATAAGTTTAGTTATAGCAAGTATACAAAAAATATTTTCCAAAGTGTCTGCCACACCCTTATTCTAACAAAATCTCAGTTCTGTGTTTTTAGCTTTAGGCAGAACTAAAGACAAACAGGTCGACTCACTTTAAGTCAAAAACAGCCCCTTCTGTAAAGTCAAAAGTTCAATCAGTAGTAATAGCACTAGTAATAGAAGTAGCAGTAGCAGTTGTAGTAGTAGCACTAGCAGTAGTAGTAGTGGTAGTAATAGTAATTGTTCGTAATATATGTGACAGTGTAACAGTATTCTTGACACACTACTTTGTACTTGAGTAATATTAATTTGAAATAACTGTATTCTTACTTAAGTACAATTTTAACTACTCTTCTTTTTCAAACCTCTAAGGCTCAAATGTTGTTGAACTTTTTAAAAATCAGAACATTTCTCCACTAATGTGAAGAAAGTTCTGCAAACTACATAACAAACCCAAAAATGATGGTTAATTTGACATGTATTGCACAAAAAGTTGAGAGTCAAAGTTGTGGACAAATTATCAACAACTTTGTCCTTCAGTGAGCGCATGGGCAGGTCCCTGATCCAGTCCTGCCTGCAGACTCCAGTCCGGTTTAGTCCGGTCCAGAGCTTAGACCAGTTAGATCCCGTTTAGTCCAGTTCTTAAAGCAGAGGCACATTAACATACATTAGAGAGCCGAACCCGCCCCGCGCTCTAGAGACAGGAGGAGTTGAGCAGATCTGAATCTGACACACAACACAACACAACACAGCACACTTAGGTTAGATTCTATTACGGGTTACATCTGGTTTAGTCTGGGTTCTGACCTGCCTCAGACCAGAGGGAAGCAAAGAATGTGTGGTAGTTATGTCAAGTTAGTTGGCTTATAATCATAATAGTAGTAGTACTAGTAGTAGTAGTAGTAACAGCAGTAGTAGTATACAAGGTAAGTATATTTGTATAGCACAATTTGTACACAAAGTAATTCAAAGTGTGGTAGTAGTAGAAGTAGTATTAGTAGTAGTAGTAGACAGAGCTCTGAATACAGGACAGCAAATAGTTTAGTCTCTGTTTGCTCTGGTTTAGTAGTATTAGTAGTACTAGTAGTAGTAATAATAGCATTAGTAGTAAAGCAAGGGAAGTTTATTTGTATAGCACAATTTGTACACAATGTAATTCAAAGACTAGTAGTAGTAGTAGTAGTAGTAGTAGTAGTAGGCAGAGCTCTGAATACAGTACAGCAAATAGCTTAGTCTCTGTTTGTCCTGGTTTAGTAGTAGTAGTAGTAATAGTAGTAATCAAGATAAGTTTATTTGTATAGCACAGTTTGTACACAATGTAATTCAAAGAGTAGTAGTATTATTAGTAATAGTAGTTGTAGTAGTAGTACATAAGGCAAGTTTATTTGTATAGCAGAATTCATACACAAAGTAATTAAAAATGTAGTAGTAGTAGTAGTAGTAGTAGTAGTAGTAGTAGTAGTAGTAGTAGTAGTAGTAGTAGTAGTAGTAGTAGTAGTAGTAGTAGTAGTAGGCAGAGCTCTGAATACAGGACAGCAAATAGTTTAGTCTCTGTTTGTCCTGGTTTAGTAGTAGAGGTAGTAGTAGTAGTAGTAGCATTAGTATTAGGCAAGGCAAGTTTATTTGTATAGCACAATCTGTACACAATATAATTCAAAGAGTATTAGTAGTAGCAGTAGCAGTAGTAGTAGCAGCAGCAGCAGCAGCAGCAGCAGCAGTAGTAGTAGTAGTAGTAGTAGTATTTAGAGCTACTACTACCAGTACTACTACTACTACTACTACTACTACTACTACTACTACTACTACTACTACTACTAGACACAAGACAGGTCCTGATTCAGACCAGGACAAAGGCATCATAGATTAGAATGAATACAGTATTGTGGAGTCATTGCACTATAGTAGTAGTAGTAGTAGTAGTAGTAGTAGTAGCAGCAGCAGCAGCAATAGTAGTAGTAGTAGGAGGAGCTCAAAATACAAGAGAACAAATTGTTTGCGTGGTGTAGTTCTGGTTTAGTTCTGATTCTAACCTGTTCCAAACTGGATCAAGGCAGTAGAGAATGTATTGAATGCTGTAGCAGATTTTTTATGTTATGTCCAGATAGTTACTCTTACAATTACTCTTACTTAAGTAGTAGTTTCTCCAAATACTTTACTCTTACTTGTGGAATTTCTTGCACCTTTATCTTGTACTTCTACTTGAGTTTGTTTGCTTTAAGTTCACAATACGTTTACTTGAGTACAATATTTGTTTATTCTGATATATATATAGTACTTGCATGGCCTGAATTAAAAAAATAAAGATATTACAAAGATGCATACCATAGTTAGCAAATGAGTTTTAGTAGAGACTATTTTGGACTTTCCTCCATTTTTCTGTTCTAAATATAGTCTATGTATTTATGGTCAATGATCAGCTTGAGACTTTTAATGGAGAGGTCCACAGCCAATCCTCGGTCAGGAAAAACTTGTGGTTTGGAGCAGAGATCAGGCTTTGGAGGAAGAACGATATTTATCTATTTTGTTTCAGACATTCAAAATTTCAAACTTGATTTCAAAACTAATGAATAGACTTGACTTTTAATACCAATACATTTTCAAGATTTAATCGTCGTACTTTTTTATATTCCCATGTGGCCTTATATCTGTGTAATGCCTCAGTGGTCCAGAGAGGTTCCATAGTGGTCCATGGGCATGTACTAGTCTGTGTGACTTTTTTAGGGTGACCACGCGTCCCTGTTTACCTGGGACAGTCCCTGTTTTGAGCCTATGTCCCCTGTCCCAGCAGATTTATCCAAAACCAGTGATTTGTCCCAATTTTATACAAGAAATGTCCCAGGTGTCTCTATTTTTGACCAATCTGATCCCTCCCAACAGTAAAGAAAGGCATAAATTGTCATTTGTTTATATAAAATACAGAAAAGTTGCTTAAAAATGACCAAAACACAAAGAAAATGTGACTATACTGACTCATGTACATCATGAATGGGCCCAGTGCAGAACAATTTTCCTTAATTATGCACTCATTTCACAATTTTATTATTACCAACCACCACAAACCAGGGGTGTCCCAGTTTTTGAGTTTGAAATGTGGTCACCTTAGACATTTTTAGTATCAGTACCTTTTAGTATCAATACCTGCCAAATGAGTATCTAGTTTTGACACTAGTTTTGGTATTTATTATTATTTATTATGATTATTTATTATGATTTTCATTACTTTTGAGAATCCTACTATAAAGTAAGCTGGCCTACGTTTTTAATTTGAAAATTGTATCCACTAGATGGTGCTGTATTACACATTAAATTTACTATCAAAACAATCCCTCGATATCATGCGGTTTTGATCATATCTGTTTTTTATTTTTTTATTTCTGCCCTCTAACAACACTTGGACAGCCCTGTGTGCAGAGGAGCCAATTCCTGGTGTTACCCACGTGTTCAAACTCGCTCAAACTGGCCACGGATCAAATGTAGGTCAAACATTTATAAAAAACAAAATTGCGTAGTAGAGATTGCTTCATTCAAAACCAGATATAAACAGAAAACAGCGCCGCCTAGTGTCACAGCGGCTTTGGAGAGCGCGCATATGTGGGCGGGCAGCGGCCTCTGTTGGACAAAATGTGTATTGCAGTGTGTTTTTACAGCAGAAGTGCAAATGGGGTGACAGCCTTTAGATCTGCCACTGTAACACATTTTGAAGTGTGATTAATTGCTATACATGAAATATTAACATTATTATTCTAACAACTTTATGACATTTACTCATTATAACCCTAAGCCGGATAATACCAGTGGAATCTAAATGTGCTGTTGTTGGGTTTCAGACAAGTTTCTATACACCAATCATATTAAATACAGATGGGGAAAGCTAAAATAAATATAGTTCAAATGCAGATTTGTGTAATACAGTGAGCTCTTGGGTCTAATCATTAATAGAATAAAAAATCTGTTTCAACATTGTGAATTTATCTTCTGGATATTTCATAGCAAAGTGCACTGTAATCAACTGATACTGTGCGACTGATGTCCTCAATCTTCCCTGGCGGTGTGATGCTAACTAGAGGCATTGCCCTGTCTTAAGATCCATTCAGAACTGACTTCAGGTGAGCCAATTTGTGCTGTTGAACAAGCCCCTCTCAAATAACAGTACAATCACATAGCAAAGGAGAAATTCAATCCTGTCAACTGGACAAAAGTTTTTCGCAATGTTTCGCTGAATCTTCAGAATGAAACGTATTCGAAAAAAAGAACTTTTGTCCAGTTGACAGAATTGAGTTTCTCCTTTGCTATGGATCCTACCCTGGGCGACCGTGGGATTTCACAAACATTACAGTCACGTAGCAGTTTTGCAGTTAGTCACTCTCACCTTTGTGTTGAAAATGAAACACCTAAACAGAACCATAAACACTCATATTGATCACAGGCTAATGAAAATTGTTCCTTAAATCCATTTTGTTTTAGATTTTTTTCTTGAGTTTTTATACTATTTTAAAAATTATTTTGGCAGTGTTTGCTTAAGTGTGCTTTGTGTCATTATGACAATTGTATACACTATACACCCCACAGTGTGAGTCACTGCAGAGTATCAATTGGGAAAACTGGCTCTTTCCCCCATCTGGAAGTATGTATTTATCATATTCCAGAATCTGAAATAATCTTTTGTTTTTAGTTAGTGTCTATAATAAACCATAGTTTTTCAGTCATCAGCTCAAATCTTATGGAAAAAAAATAGTAAATCGCTCCCACTAGTGCAAAGATAAGTTGTACACTAAAGCTCTTGAGCCCTAAAATACATGATTCAACCTATAGCTTAGCCTTATTTCTGCTTTCAGTCCTTGTTTAGTCCTGATTCAGACCATTGTGTTAAGAGGGACTAAACACAAAATCTCCCCCCTTTCAATACTAAACTGTGTATATTGTGTTTTAACAGAATTGTCTACTACTACTACTTTTTTTTGGCAATATTAGTGTAATTCTGCAGGTTTCTGGTCAAAAATGTATAAAAATGAGTGTGTCCTGGCAGCAGTGATCGAAGACGTTTGGAAACATGTGGATGACAACTTCCGGTACAGTTACCGACACTGGGCATGTGATAAAACCATGGATTCAGCAGCAGCATCTCACAATCTGCCAAAGCTTTCCATGGAGGACAGGACTCTAATCGTGCCTTCCATGTCGCTCACAGGCAGGTTGTAACTGTTGATCTGAAAAACACAATAGAACTACTACTCTTTTTTTTTTCTTATATTAAATTAGACAAATTTAATGACTGAAAGGACGAGATCGCAGATACAAGCGGCCGAAATGAGTTTCCTCTGCAGGGTGTCTGGGCTCTCCCTTAGAGATAGGGTGAAGAGCTCAGTCACACGGACCTTGCTCAGACTGCTGCCCCCGCGACCCGGCCCTGGATAAGCAGAAGAAAATGGTTGGATTTTAATTATAAAACACAAATTAATAGGCAATTTATAAAAGGAAAAAAATAATACAATGGCATCTAAATGAAGAAAACCGGGCCATTTTTACCAGATTTTCCCAGAAGTTAATATCGCCAAAACAGCCCAAAGGAAGTCGTTATCCGCTGTTTCTAAACATCTGCCGGTTTTATGATGTCAGCGTGAATAGAGCTCATTTCCAGTAGTTGGTGACATCACAAAAGACTGTCCTGATAGCAGACAGGTGTTTGTGGACACCTGTTAGACCAATCACACTGTTCCTTATACCTCCAGACCCGCTCCTCCTCCTCATTCTGCCCTTTAGTCCTCAGTTTAACAGCTCTATTTGAAATGCAGTTTTGGATGGAGCTTAGGGCCGCGTCTCTTTTCTCTTTCCTCACTTTTTTCACCTTGATTCCTCTCCTCGATTCTGCAGGAAATTGGTGCGGAAGTCCTGCCCACAGAGGAGACAAAGCGAGGAGAGAGGATCTAAACTCCTCACTGAGACCAAAAAAGTTTGATTCTTTTAAATGATGTCTGCCTCCTGAAACCTCCCTCAGCTGAAAAATGAGGGAGGAGGGTCGAGGAGAGGAATCGAGGAGAAGGAAGTGAGGAAAGACAACTGAGACTCAGCCATGTGTTTAGACCTACTTTAAATTCTGGTTGAATCATTTTTTTGTCTCCACTAGATGGGGATGCTGTACTTCAAACAAGTAACAACTGCTCGTAATGAGAGGAGACAAATCGAAGTAATGAAATGAAATATTACTTTGTTTTTGTATTTTTTTTACATAACAATTTCCGCAGACAAACCAAAATAAGTAGTTTGTTTGATTATTCACACAGTTAAAGGTTCTACATTACGCAAAATGGACTCTTGTGAGCTTTAAGTTATGTTAGAATGCTGTCCCCTCATCAAAAACAGACCCGAAGTAGTGTTTTGTAATCCTTTTTATTAGTCTGTCTACATCTCCAAAGCTCAAAATGCTCTGTTCCACCTTGTGATTTCATGAGGCAGTAGTTTTATAGTTAACAACTCCTTTTACCTTTAACCGTAGAGATTTTCCAGGCATCTCCAGATCTGAAATCATCCAAATTACTTTAGTTTTACTTCAGTCATTTAAAATTAAATCTCTTTTTGTTGCCACAGACGCCGTGAGACAGTCTGACAAAGAAGTGGTTCTCGTTCCTGCCATTCCTACAGCACACTCACATGGACAAGGTGGTGAAGTGTCTTGCCCATGAGCACAATAGGAGCAAGCACCTTATGAAACTACAAGTACAGGTGCGTGATGTCGGCTCGGCGTCTGAGGCTTGCATTCTTGCCTTAAAGCGAAAACGTTGCAGGTTCGACTCTCGAGTTTTTCTGTGTGGAGTTTGCATGTTCCTCTGTGTCTCAGGTTGAACCCAAAACATGTACAACAGGTCAAATCCCTCAGCTGAGGTAGTCCTGACCAAGACTAGCGTCTCACTGCTCCTGAAAGGTTTAACCCAGAGACACTGAAGGACGGGTCAAATGCAGAGGGCACATTACCTTACAAAGTGAACCTTACCATAACTTCTTACTAGTGCTGCACATTATGTCACAGTCATATCAAAAGTGCAATCTGAGTTGGCACAGTTATCAAACCGTAAAGGCTGTAATTATCTAGAGAATAGAATGCCCTCTGTAGAAAAAAAATACAGTATCTTTTATAGATCAATCTTGTATCTGTAGTTTAGATCTCTACAAGTGTGTTCTGAAATGTCCCAGTGGGTCAGATGCCCTCCCAGTGTCTCCATGGGGTCTTATTCTGTGTAAAAGCTGCTCACCCTGTAGTTTAGACCTCTACAAACATGTTCTGATATACATGAGATTCTTGTATTAGTTTATCGGTTCAGATTTCAGTTTTCTGTCCAGGGCTGTTGCTAGAGCTCTGTGGGTGCCCACCAATCCACCCCACCCTGTCTGGAATGAACAATAATTCAAACATTTTCAGTGCGATTCACTTTATTTGCAAAACAAATACCATGAACATGAAAGTTAAAATAAAAAGTTATTAAAAAAGGTTCATAAATAAATACCACCACCATTATTCTAAACATAGATTTGTGCAGTGCCTGCAGACCGAACACGGAACTGAACACTGTAAACACAGAAAACAAGTCTATACTCTTGTGAGAAATAATGTGCACATTTCTTTGGTAAATAATGTACATTATACGAAGTAAAAATAATTCCACAATAGAATTTAGTCCATCAGGGAACTTTAAATACAAATTCAAAAGTGAAAATTTCTCCACAAGACTATCTGCTGCATGTGTGGAGATCCGGACACTGAGGACAGAGAGAGAGAGAGAGAGAGAGAGAGAAAGTAAGGGAGGAAGAGAGAGAGAGGGAGAGACAGAAAGAGAGATTTCGGTGGATTATGTTGGCACTGGCCACACACTTTGGATGAATAGTTTTGAAAGGATTCGTGAACCTGATTTTTTGGTAGTGTCTCCACAAGCCCTTGGTGCTCTACACACTGTGTGTAAATGTAATGTGAATGTGTGGAGCGACGGCACTGTTTCTCTCTAAAGGTAAATGGTCCTCAGTGTGTACTCTGAACCAAATTCTACTTTTTTAACACCAATATTGTGCAGCTCTGCTTAGTGTGCTATTTAAGTCTGAATATTATACAAAAACTGCAATATAAAATGTATATTTAACAACACTAAATAAACCATACATATAACATGGACAATAAGAAGTTCAAAAACTGTGTTTGAAGAGTGGCTGTTTTACTTCTGTGGAGTATTAACCATAACACATAACACATTTACATCACCATGTTACCTTCTATTGTTTTGAAATAGCTCTATTTGCCAAAAAACAATGTGTTTCACTTCAGTTTTAGACGTCTTGAATCTCCCCTATTTTTGCTCTATGTGCTAAGTCACTCCCCCTTCAGAGCGCTATCACAACACAAGCAATTTGCATCTCACTGATCAAACTCCTGCCCATCGTGTCGGGTTTCTCCAGTTGTTGTGTACATTTTTGTCTCATGTTTTTGTATATTTATGGAGAATTCTCCTGTGGGAGCATGGGTGACGTGGGTGACGTGGGCGGAGCGTTGGACAGAATCTTACAGTGAATCGAGGGTTTGAATAGGGCTCAGGAGAGATCACTGAATTACTGAATTACAAACATGCTTGAATGACATTTCTCTTCAGGCGTGTTTTTGTTATAACATGGCAGAAAGATTTTAATTTTGCAGTAAACCCCGGCGTGTTTGTTTGCAGCTTCCTGGGCTCTGAGGCATTTGTGGTCCAGACTTACAGAAGAATGAATCAAAGTTCACTCAGGCACTTGGTCCCCTACCAAATTTACACTCTCCACCATTTCCTGAGTATTTGATTCAGAGGAAAAGAGGGATGAGGAGGAGGAGGGTGAGTCAAGAAGGGAGAGAGAGTGGAAAGGGAAAGACGAGGTGAGGAAGAAAGACAGGGAAGAGAGAGGGAAAAGGACACAGAGAGAGAAAGAGAACAAGTGAGAGAGCGATAGGAGAGAGAAAGAGTGAGAAATGGACACAGAGAGGGGGACAGCGTGCAAGAGAGTAGAGAAAGAAAAGCGAGAGAGAGAGAAAGAGAGAGAAAGTGTGGGAAAAGGACACAGAGAGGGAGAGAGAGTAAGCAAGGGAGCAGAGAGAGAGGAGAGAGGGAGGAGACGAGGGGAGAGAGTGATTGAGAGAGCAAAGAGAGATGGGAGAGAGCGAGAGAGGGGGTGAGAGAGAAGAGGGAGAAAAGAGGAGGGAGAGAGAAAGACACAGCAAGTGAGCAGAGAGATAAAAGAGAGAGAGAGAGAGAGAGAGAGGGTGACAGAAAAGAGACTTAGACAGGAGAGAGGGTAAAGAAAGAGAATGAAAGATAGAGGGAGTCAGAGAGCAGAGAGAGAGAGAGGTAAGGAGAGGTAAGTGAGGAGAGTGAGAAAACGGTGGGGTATGAGAGAAAATAGAAAGAGAGAGGGGGAGAGAGAGAGCTTGTGAGAGAGCAGAGCAGGAGTAGAGAGAAAGAGAGAGGGAAAAGGACACATAGAGGGAAAGAGAACAAGCAAGAGAGCAGAGAGAGATAGGAGAGAGACAGAGAGAGGGAAAGGACACAGAGAGGGAAAGAGCAGAGAGAGTAGAGAGAGACAGGAGAGAGAAAGAGAGAGAAAAAAGATATAGAGATGGAAAGAGCAAGTGAGAAAGCACAGAGAGATAGGAGAGAGAGAGAGAAAGAGAGGGAAAGCACACAGAGAGGGAAAGGAAGAGAGTAGAGAGAGAGACAGGAGAGAGAAAGAGAGAGAAAAGGATACAGAGATGGAAAGAGCAAGTGAGAAAGCACAGAGAGATAGGAGAGAGAGAAAGAGAGAGAGAAAAGGACACAGAGAGGGAAAGAGAGCAACCGAGAGAGCAGAGAGAGATAGGAGAGAGAGAAAGAGAGGGAAAGGACACACACAGGAAAAGAGCAAGAAAGTACTCAGAGATAAGAGAGAGAAAGAGAAGGAAAAGGACAGAGAGAGGGAAAGAGAGAGAGATAGGAGAGAGAAAGAGAGGAAAAAGGATACAGAGAGGGAAAGAGAGCAAGTAAGAGAGTAGACCGAGAAAAGAGAGAGAGAGAGAGAGAGAGAGAGAGAGAGAGAGAGAGAGAGAGAGGAGAGAGAGAGAGAGAGAGAGAGAGGATGACAGCAACAAGACTGAGAAAAGAGTGAGGATAAAAACAGAAAAAAATACAGAGTGAGTCAGAGAGAGAGGTATAGAGAGAGAGGGGAATGAGAAAATGGTGGGGGTATGAGAGAAAATAAAAAGAGAGAGGGGGAGAGAAAGTAGAGAGCAGTAGGAGAGAGAGAAAGAGAGAGGGGGGAGTGGGTGGAGAGAGAGAGATCAGAAAGAGAGAGAGAGAGGGTGACAGAAAAGAGACTGAGAAAAGAGAGAGGGTAAAGAGAGAGAATGAACGATAGCTAGTACGGAAGCAGAGAGAGTGGATAGGGGAAGAGGAAGAGAGAACAGAGAAGAAAAGGGAGAGAGAGAAAGAAAGATAGAGGGAGTCAGAGAGCAGAGAGAGAGAGAGGTAAGGAGAGGTAAATGAGGAGAGTGAGAAAACGGTGGGGTATGAGAGAAAATAGAAAGAGAGTGGGAGAGAGAGCTTGTGAGAGAGCAGTAGGAGAGAGAAAGAGAGAGGGAAAGGGGCACAGAGAGGGAAAGAGAGAGAGAGCAGAGAGATAGGAGAAAGAGAGAGAGGATTAGAGAGAAAAGTGAGAAAAGAGGAGGAAGAGCTTAAGACACAGCAAATGAGCAGAGAGAGAAGATGACAGAAAGGAGACGAAGAAAAGAGAGGGTAAAGAGAGTGAGAGAAAGAAAGAGTGCATTGGAGAGCAGAGAGAGAGGTAAGGAGAGAGAAGAGGGTCAGAAAATGGTGGGGTTTGGGAGAAAATAGAAAAAGAGAGGGGTAGAGAGAGCAGAGAGAAGTAGGAGAGAGAGAAAAAGAGAGAGAGGGAGTGGGTGGAGAGAGAGATCATTAAGAGAGAGAGAGAGGGTGACAGAAAGGAGACTGAGAAAAGAGACAGAAAGGGAGAGAATGAGATAAGCTAGAGGAAGCAGAGAGAGAGGACAGGGGGTAAAGAAAACAGAAAGAGAGAGAGGGAGAAGTAAAAAAGAAAAAGAGAAGAGGATGAAAGAAAGGAGACTGAGAAAAGAGAGAGGGTAAAGAGAGAGAAAGAAAGAAAAAATGAAAGAGTGAGTAAGAGAGCAGAGAGATAGGAGAGTGAAAAAATGGTGGGGTATGAGAGAAAATAGAAAGAGAGAGGGGTAGAGAGAGCAGAGAGCAGCAGGAGAGAGAGCAGAGAGAACGAGAAAGAGAGAGGGGGTGGGAGGAGAGAGAGATCGGAAAGAGAGAGAGAGAGAGAGTCACATGACCAGGATCTGTTTACAAACTGCAGGCTGTGAAGTGCAGTGGGAACAGAAGAAGAAGGACGAGCTACAGAGAGCAACTACCACCACTAGTACAACAACTACTACTACTACTACTACTACTGGAAACATTTAACACTTCAATTTAAACCTCTATTTCCAGAAAACTACTTCACCAACAACTTGTACATGTGAAGGACGGACTACTGATCCTGATATGTGAAAATTATTAAGATTTATGGAGTAATTTGCCAGTTTTGGAGACAAGAAATTCCACCTGGAATTTTTAAACACAAGAAACGAGCAAGAACCTCATTAGAATTCATTAAAGAAGACTTGGATAAATACGTTTTGCACTTTTGATGAATTGAGA